TTGCATTTCAACAAAACCAAAGGAAACCATAAACTAGAGAACCTGGCATTTTCTAGCTCCTACTCCTAGGGTTTTTATTGTAGTCTCTCTGAGTAAAATCTCCAATGTCCTGCTTTACACAAATTACACCCCAAATATTTCTCAGACCGACAAAAATCTGAATCATTAATATCAGAGTTCTATGTAACCACCTACCGACGAGAGGGTTGGGTTTTAGAAAAAGGCAAAAAGTAAGAACAGAAATATATGTGCTCTCTAAGGTAACACTGTGGAAATAAATACAAACAGGCAGGAGATAATGCCCAGTGATAACTAGGCAGGTGGCTGGACCCTTTGAGGGCTTCAAATAAACCCACCTGGTCGGTGATCCACGCTTCTCCCTCAGCGGGGAGCTATTGGCTGATTCTCTCCTTCTGTTTATGAAGCTGGTTTGGTCCTTGGTATAATTGTACATGCAGTTTGGACATGGAGTTTGAGTCCTTCGATAACTTCTTCAGTCCGCACCAGCCAAACGCAAGAGAGTTTCTTGTATGAGTCTTTGGATACGAGTGTGAATGACCCACCATCTGTTCTAACCAATCAACAAAGGGGCAAGCAAGAATAGGTCACAAACATAGAACCATCTTACATTGCTTCAGTCTCCCAATACCACAGAGGACCATTTCCCCCTAGATCATGATTTTGTCAGCCTCAGGGCCCACAGGCTCTGTGTTCCAATGGTCTTGGCTCACATAGCCGCCTGCTGCCTGCTCTGCTTGCTGGTACCTCAACGGGATTGTCTTGTCTAGCAACCTCGTTGTGGAGGCAAGAGTAGCTGCCTTGCCACGTGGAGTTGGGGTGTGTGGGGAGTGGAGGAGGCAGGGAGAATTGGGGACCCTCCCCCCTCTGCAGCTGCTTCCTCAGCTGCAATTCTTCACAGACATCTGTAATTCTTCACAGTTTTGGAAAAATGATGAAAAATGAAGAAATGAGGGGCAAAAAAAAAAAAACGCTTCCACAATTGTGAGCTGAGAGCCTAATTTGGATTTGGCACAGAGAGTGGAGAATGAGGGACCCCCATCCCCCATTAAGAATGAAGCAAATTAAATGAGCTAATGTAACCAGGAAGAGACAAACACCAGCGACATCCTGAAACAAAACAGATTTTCTTAAGCCAGAAATGAAGGGGGGGGGGGACATTGCCTTAGCTGGAAAGAGAACACATGCAGGACCGCCCACGCGTAAGCAAAGATACATGAACAAGGGCTGCTGGCCGGCGCCCTGGCTCACGCCTGGCATCCTGGCTACTCACAGCTGTCATCCTCGCTACTCAGGAGGCTGAGATCTGAGGATCGTGGTTCAGATCCAGCCGGGGCAGGAGAGTTCGTGAGACTCTCATCTCCAATGAACCACCAGAAAACCGGAAGTGGCGCTGTGGCTCAAGTGGTAAAGCGCTAGCCTTGAGCTGAAGATGATGGACATGTCCAAGGTCAGGGTTCAAGCCCCACAACTGACCAAAAAAAAAAGGCTGCTCACCGTGATTGAACACTTACTAGACACTGTGCTAAGTGTTCATACGCATTCTTCCGAATAACTCTACACGGTTGATTCTCTTATCTCCAGAAGAAACTGAGGTACCGAGGGGCTGCATGAGACCACCCAGCTCACTAGCGTGAGGATGGGCTGTGTCTTGGGCAGTCGGCCCCTGGTCTCTGCTCTTAGAACACTTGTTTCATGGTTGGAGAGAAAGTTGCAAGAGCAAACAGGGACAGGGGCCTGCAGATCCATCACCACTTTGCACATGTGGTAGTTTGGAGTCTGGGTTTATTCCCTGGTGCAAGCTACAGTTTAAAATGTTGATCAGAGGCAACTGTTTGTTTTTGTCTTTATGTAGAAAACAGCAAATAACTAGGTTCCAGAATCACAGGAATTACTAAAATGTTATACTTACATCTCCTTTCCTTTTATAACCAAACATGAGTATATGCATATTTTCATATACCTACATACACACACACGCGCGCGCGCACGCGCGCGCACACACACACACACACACACACACGCCAAATACTTACTTCTTACACTCCTAAAATAACTCCTCTTCCCAAGTCATTAAATGCCACAAGCATTTTGTGAGGGTCTTGGGGGTCTGGGAAGGGCAGCGATAGGAGAAATGTTTGCCTGACTGAGAAACTCTCCAGAAAACTGTGTCATGAAGACACTGCTGCCCGGCCTCTGATCCGTGATGCCTTCTCTTCTACCAAACTAACCCATTGCCTGCCCTTCACCTCCCCTCTGCCCATCTCGGGTAACTTGGGCACATCTCCAACTTCCTGTATGTTCCCGAAGCCTGCCTTCACCAATCTTCCAACCTCCATCTCAACTAGACTGCAATCACACTCACATCCTCATTTGTGGCTGATGTAGCTTGTAGAACATTTAGCTTGCTTCAATTTCATTATGTGTTTGAGGAGGACTCTTTATGGAGGGAGGCGGGAGATGATGTTCCTATTGCCAGCAACTGGATTAACTGAAAAGATCCAAAGCCAAATTTCCATTTGGGCTCTGAGCCTGTCATGCGTAGCTACAAACCAAACGAGGCTCAGAAGTTCTTGGATTCTCAAGAGGGGCTTAGCTACTTCACATCATCCTCTTCCACTTCCCAACTTGGAAACTGACGAATAGGTCAAAACATTCCGTAGAGTGTTCAGGCAATTCCTCTTATCACAATACCTTTGTGTATGGGGGAAGAAGAAATAGTATTTTTATATGCAGTTTCAATAATACAAATCAACGATACATTCCCCTCCCCTATGGCTTTTCCTAGGAGGGAATGACTTAAGAGTGCAGATCAAATTGTTTTCCTCCTTCTCACTTTATATCCTGAGCGCCTTTCAAAGGAGTCAGGGCAGTGACTCTTTTTTTTTGTTAATTTTATAACTTTTTTTTTAAAGGTTGTTTATTCTCAGCCTTCCTTTCTAAAAAGGACACGGGCATAGATGATTCTTCAATGAGAGTGAATCTGGTTGTCTTCTGTTGAGGGAAGCAGAGTGCAGTGGTTTTCTTTGAGCTGGTGAATAGTTGAATAAGCTGAAAAGCTGTTTTCAGCAATTAAACACCGGACTGAGAGTTAATTACAGCAGAATCCTGATCTCAGCCATGCCCCTAATTAGCAACCTCATTTTATGATGGTCCCTCGGTTTCTGTTTTGCATCCGTACGATGAAGTACATGAATGTAAAGGCCTCTGTGCTCTGAAATTGTCTTTTGACTCAAGGCGACAAGTAGGAAGCTGACAGCATGGTATAGAGCTCCTCTACTGGGCGCCCCAGAGCAGCCCACTTTTCTTTTTTATTGACAAATTTTTATGTTTTTTTTCTCCTTTTTTAAATTTTAGTTTGTTTTCTTATCCGTATATAGTTGTTCAAAGGGGTTTCAATTCAGCATAGCAGTTTATGGGTACAAGGCAGCGTCCGGATCAATGTCACCCCTTACATTATCTCCCCCATTTCTTCCCACCTCACCCTTCCCCCTCCATCGTCCCATTTTCACTTATGTCCATTGAATATTATGACTGTATTCACCCGCCATTCCTCTCTCCATTTGTCTGGCCCTGGCTTTCCGTGAGTCCCATAATACGCATTCCAGCTCCCTGGCGTTCATCTTGTTAAACCGTAAGTTAGTTGTTCAAAGGAGTTCCACCATTGAGCCCACCCCACCATATACCATACTTTAACTTTTTGTATATATACATATATCTACATATACATATGAGCCTGTATCTGTGTACAACATAACACTTCCATGTAGGAGAGAAGACATAGATCCTTTGACTCTCTGAGCCCGAGTTACAATTTTTAACTGCCTCTCCATTTCCCCAGCAAATGACACTTTTGCCCAAATCCATCTAGGTAGTAGTATAGCCAGGCTATGTACTCAGGTGTACATAATACAAAAATACATTTCATGAATCTATGCCAGTACATGGTACCAGAGGCCCCAGATGCAAATCTCCAGCACCAGGCCTGTGGGCCTGGCGAGCACGTGGATTATTCTGCTTAGAAACAATGCAACGTTGTCTTACCAGTAGCCTTACCAGAGATGCCCCATCCACCCCCCTTACTCCACCAGCACAGTTCCTTTGCCCCCGAATCAATCCAAGTCCACTGTTCACTCCCTTAGAAGCTGGCAGTAGATAAAGCTCCCGCCTGCCCCTTTAGGCGGTGATCCTGTCCTTTCTGACTTCTCTCCTCTTAGGTGGGTAATACAGCCAGCAGATCTGATCATCAAAGCCCCCTGTGGGTTTTGAGACAAATGTGTGTCATAAATAGACAACCTCTACCAGGGGGCGGTGGGGGTGGAGACACACACCAGTACTGGGCTACAGTCTGTCACCAGTGAGGCTGGGCTCGCTCTGTTTGAATTTCACTTTGGTCTGCTGACGTTTCCTCCACAGAACATGGCAATATGCATACTACTTCCTACAGCCAATCAGATCATTGCTTCCTCACTCCATTTTTTTTTTTTTTGGCGAGACTGAAACTAGGTTCAACTCTATTACCCTAGGTTTAGAAAGAGTCCAAAAGTCCTTAGAGATTCCCCCTAACGGAGAGTTAGTAACACATGGATATTTAAAGCAAGCCCTTCTTAGGAAATAATGACGTTTGTATTCATGAGAAAGTTAGAACTAGTATTTGGTTCTAACTCATAAAACCGAGAGAGAGAGAGAGAGAGAGAGAGAGAGAGATTTGAGGCATACACGAAGCAGTGTTTCTTGACCTGGTGTCCATGAATAGGCTTCAACTACTGAGGCCTGAGATCTTCCTAGTCCATCTAGAAACTTCTATAGGTGCATTTCCCTAGGAAAGAGGCTGCAATCTTCTCCAGTTTTTTTTGCCCCAGGCAACGACTGATTGGAGAAAGGTTCAAAGCCAGTGACATGACTTCCTTTATTTTCTCTACATCTGAAGCCAGGAGACAGCACTGACTTGCCTGTCCGCCTTTCTTCTTTGCTCTTCCTAGAAAAAGCAAGTGAGCCAGACCAAGATCCGGGTCATCTCAACCATCCTGTTCATCCTGGCGGGCTGCATCGTGTTTGTGACGATTCCTGCGGTCATTTTTAAGTACATCGAGGGATGGACGGCCTTGGAGTCCATTTATTTTGTGGTAGTCACTCTGACCACTGTGGGGTTTGGTGATTTTGTGGCAGGTAAGCATCCTGGGCATTTCATGGTGGGGGTGGGGGTGTCACTGGGGGGGAGGGGTCATCTGTGGGTTGTGTGTTCCAAAATCAAGATAACTGATGTTTGTAGGAAATTTCCGCAAGTGAAAAATGGCTCATTGCTATGGCCACTGTGCACCGGCTCATTTCAAACCCCGAATGTTGCGTGATGTAAAACAGCAGCAGGGCATCCCCGCCCCCACTGCCATGAAAAGAAAGCTGGCTCCACCCCCCCCCCCTCCTCAGGATGCCTTATCATTGCCTGAATTAATACCAGGGTGGAATGAATGTCTCATTGAGTCCTAGACTGGTTCCTTATCAGTGGACAAAAGCTGTTATTCTAGCTTTTGTGTTTGAATTTGCAAAAGGCAAATAAGATGCTCAGGAGAGGTTAATGTGAAAGTTGGCCTGCGGTGGCCTGCCGAGGGGAAGCTCCCTGATGCCAGGCTGAGCACCGTTGACCCGCAGTCCTGGTCCCTGATGCCAGGCTGAGCGCCGTTGACCCGCAGTCCGGGTCTGGGGTTTGCCTGCTGGCAGGAGTTAGGCCTTGTGGTGGCTCCGGGGAGGATGTGATGGAATGGAGTCTGCGGGAATGTATAGACAAACACCCATCCTCACGATTTTCTTTGGGTTTCTCAAGGGACAAGGAGGTTGAAAATAAATGGCAGTTGGCTTCATTCATGAACCAATTTCCCAAAGTATGGCAGAAAGGCAGGAATAAAAGGCCATCCTAATTCTTCCCTATAGTGATAGTGTATGTGTTCTAATAATTGCTCATCTTCTACATTAAGAAATGGGCACTTTGACCAAATGATTCTATCATAAAGTTGAGATGTTTCGCTCGTGTGTGTGTGTGTGTGTGTGTGTGTGTGTGTGTGTGTGTGCATGCACGCGCGTGCACGCGCCTCTGTGGGGACAGTGTGTGTAAGGAGAGGGATCTCCCTGGTCTTTAGGAAATCTGGTAAAAGTAGAAAATTCTGGAAGGAATGTTAGAAGATTACCAACAGGTGCGTGTGTGTTTCCATGCTAATTCTGTAACAAGATAGTGGTTTGGTAATTATTCCCCCTGGGCAGAAGCTTAGAGCTGACTGTAAAGAAATAGTCGGGAGGTTTTACCCCCTCTTTGCCTTCTGTGGACAAATGACAAAGAATTTCCGGGTCAAAGCGATTAAAAATGGCTTACAGCTGGGTGTGGTGATGCCACTCTGCACAGTCTTAGGAAGCAGAGGCAGGACAATGCCACATTTCAGGCTAGCTTAATAGCCTGGGCTACATAGAAAGAACTTGTCTCAAAAAAAATGAAAATAAATGAAAGCTTCCTGGAGAGCTAGAGCCTGGGACCCTGCCAGTATTTCCTTGTGCGTAATGCTCAGCCATTGCCATCGGAGCAGAGACCGCACGCACTGAAGACAAGCCAGAGGAGCTGAGAGAAGTTATATGAACAACTGTAGGAGTTGTTAAGTTTAATTCCTGAGCATCATCCATAGCCTGTCCCTACGAAAACTTTATCAAGATTCCAATCTGATTAAATACAGGTAAGCTAGAGGGAGTTTAGAACCATTTCATCCTAAGATACTGAAATCTCTTAGAGAGAAAATGGCGGTTTATTTCTTTACATCATCTACGAACACCCTCTTGTATAACTCAGGTCACCGGTAGATTATGTGTAAGGCCTAATGTAAATTCCTTGAAAAGAGTTGTTTCTTACCCTATTTTTAAGGGAACAATGAAAATAAAAGTCTGTACATGTTAATATAGATGCAGTATTTTTTTTTCTCTCGAATCTTTTTTGATACCTTCAGTCGAGCCCACCAACAGTCCTGTAAGAGTGGAAAAGAAGGTTGTCTGGCCATTAAAACAAGATACATGGCCAAGAGTTGATGGTCTTTGTCATCTGACTTGGCATCGACTTCTGGTAGAAATGTAATTGGGGTATCAGTCATATAGAGTTGGTTGCACATTTGTTTTGCAGCTGACCCCTTTTGAGGTCAGTCTAACAACACTGCAGCCTTTGCAACTCTGATTAGAAGCATTCACCATTTCCATTTCCCGCCTAGCCTGTGATTAAAAACAAAATAAAAAAATAAATTCAAACGGCTGTCGACTGGATTGTTCACTAGTGCCCTCTGGTGGCAGCCCTGGTTAGGTGCTAGTGACTTGCAAAGGTAAATAATTACTTAATCCAAACAATTCTACACAGAGGGAGCTTTCTATCCTTGTACAGAAACAAAACAGACCTCAACAAACAAACAAACAAACAAAAAGACAAGTGAAAGTCACAGGAATTCAAATTATATTCTGGAGAAAGCTTTGGGAGAACGTTGCCTACAGAGAAAACAGAAACCAAAACCAAAACAGAGGCAGCTAAACCAAACCATAGTCCTGTACCTCTGTGGGGTTGTATTTTCACTTTCAGAAGTGGCAGCAGCTGTGAAGACCTCAAGTGTTGTGTTGCAAAGTGGGCATGGGTGCGTTGAGAAGAGCCACAGGTCCCAGTGTCTGTCCAGGTGGCTTTTCAAGCCACCACAGATGTGGTCAAAGCTCGGTTGCGCTTCAGTGGTGCCAGTTGTGGTGATAGCTGTGACCCTGTGGGAAAGTCTCGCCATCCGTCTTCCTTCATTACTGTCATTGCCTAATATTGGTTCTCTTAGAAATGGCCCTGCCTGCTCCACGGGGCAGGCGTGTCTCACAGAGTGGGGACAGGGCTAGTCTGTTATGTCACCAAGTTCCTTCTCTTCTGGAGTGAGGGCTGGGCTTGGTGCCTGTCAATTTTGCCTAGCTGCCCTCTGTAGTGTTTCTATGAAGGCTTCAATAAATAGGCTGATTACTCAGAATGATCAACTAGTGTTTTCAGTGGAACAGCTAGTCAATACCCGTAGGCAACTGACCAATTTGTTTTGATGGATTTTTTAAAGGTAACCCTTTTTAAAAATATATAATCTAAAGAGATTGGAATAGTTGTTCCCCCCCCCAGATCCCTTTATAATCTAGTTTACCGTGATTCTAATTATATGGCCTAATTAACCCTTTGGATTTGCCAGGTGTAGACATCACCCCTCATCAGCATGAAATCACTATTTCACGGCTCAAAGTCTCAGTCATGCCATTATGCCTGAATTTACTATTGTGCACCCAACCAAGAAATTTTGGTAACTAAGTGTGACCTTAAAATTGGTCTCAAGAGCTCCAAACCATTTGGGAGGATTTAGAAATATTTGCTTCTTTAGCCAAATAAATGTACAAAGTTTAAGAGCAAAAACAATGGCGGCTGAGCCTGACCTGAGGTGTATCAGTGGAGTCCTTTATCATTGATGCTCAGGTTGAGAGGGGCCAAGAGGGCCTCTGATAATTGTACTCTTACAGGCATTCGAGTTAGTGGTCAAGAACCAGGGAAGGGAATCACGGGCCTGGCTCCTGCAGGAAAGGGGCACATCTTTCTCCTGCTGCCCCAACCCTCACTATATCTTATATTACTCTGCAAGTCTGATGATGGCTGAGTGTTAGGATAATGAAGTAACATCTGCGTTGCATGGATGGACCGGCACATGTTTGCTCTGTTAAGAACACTTGCAAGGCCATCTAAAAACAACCTGTGGGGCCAAGATGCTAGTGGCTCACATTTGTGATCCAAGCCACTCAGGAGGCTGAGATTTGAGGATCGTGGGGGCCAAGCTGGCACAGGCAGAAAAGTCCATGAGACTCTATCTCAAATTAACCAGGAAAAGGCTTGAAGTGAAGCTGCTACTCACGTGGTTAGAGCAGCAACCAGCCTTGAGCAAGATAGCTAAGGGACTGTACCCAGGCCCTGAGTTCAAGACCCAGCACTGTAACACACATGTTCCCCTCCTCCCCCGCCCAATAATGTTTGGTTGTTTTTAGGGGGAAATGCTGGCATTAATTACCGGGAGTGGTACAAGCCCCTGGTGTGGTTCTGGATCCTTGTTGGCCTGGCCTACTTCGCCGCTGTTCTCAGTATGATCGGAGACTGGCTACGGGTGCTCTCCAAAAAGACAAAAGAAGAGGTAGGACTTTTTCCAAACTCCCTAACTTGCGACTTTGACTCGTGTGAAGTATTGCCTGTCTATTCTCTGGTCAGGCATGTTTCTGACTCCATGCAAAAAATGGTGCTTATTTTAAAGCTTCTTCCCCACCCACCCCCACCCTCCGGCCCCTTCAATCCTGACCTCAAGCCAAGAAGCCAAGTGGAGTGGAATGGACATTTTTGTTCTCTGGAATCTTTTTTGGGGGGTGGGGAGGGGGAGGTGAGAAAAATATGGTTATTTACTTCCTAACCCTCACACCCTAGGCAGACTAGGAAACAAAAACTGATTTTCTTTTTAAAATAAATGAAATTAAAACAAATAGCAAGTGAAGACAGACTGTGCAAATACCTGGGTGGTCTAGAAGACTCCAGGCACACATCCCAGGGCAAGCTGGCTGGTCTTCCAAGGTCCAGAAGTCTGCCTGGGGCTGCAGCAGAATACCAGGCTCTTTGCTTAATAGGAGAGCAAAGTCTTGAAATAGTAGCCAGCCATGGGGACAGGGGCTCTGGGGGGGGGCCCTTGCACCATGTCCTCCACACGTCCCTCCCGCCCTCCCCCCTGCGAGACCCATGCATTCCTGTTGCCAAGGAAGCCTGGTCTTTACCCCTCACACAAGCATCCACACAAAGTTGAGAAAGGAAGACCTGGAAGGGGAAGATGGATTTTGTGACTTAGAAGACCCACAGGTGCTTCTTCTAGCGAGAGAGGAAAAGGAGGAGCCAAATAAAAGGAAGTGAGAGAAGAAAACCCCAAGAGAGCAAGCGTAGGGCAGGAGGCTTTAAGGACAGCTCTGCATTTCTGTCCACATAAAGGGCCCCAGGACAGGCGCCGTGTCCGGCCCCTTCCCTGGGCCCCTGTGTTGGGTTTCCTGGCGGGCCTCTGCCATGCCAGTGCTATTTCCACTCTGCTTCTCTAAATGGCCAGTGGGCCTGCCGAAGAAGATCGGCGATGACAAGGGTGAAAGGAACAACGTAAAATACGGACTTTTTGTCAGTCCCCAAATCGGGAGTCCCTCGTCTCCACCGGGGAGCATGGGATGTGTACTGACTGTCCTGTTGAATAAAAGCCAAGATATTGAGTGCACCTCCTTCCTCAGGCTTAAATAGTTTGATTTTGAAGAAGATACGTTGCAGGGGGGTGAGGGGTGGGGGAGCACTTTGGCCAAATAGACCCTTCCTTTCCTGCACCCTGACCAAAGGTGCCAGTGAAGAGCCTTCAATCGGGACAGCCCCCTAGCCCGCAGCTACAGCATAAGGCAGCCTGCTTCAGTTTGCCCAGCTCCTGGGGTTTCAGCATGGCACAGGATTTATGTTTCCTCTAAAATGGAAACACCCTCAGTAAGTTGGGGCAGGTTGGTCATGCTCCCCATATGGATTCGCTAAACACCTGTTCGGGGCTCAGGACTGAGTGAACTGTGTTTCCTTTCCTTTCCTAACAGTCAAAACCCCCCATGAGCTAGATGGGATGAGCACCGTTTCTGGGTCAAGGCAACCAGAATCCCAGGGACGGATCTCTCCTCCAAAGCACCACCCACCTTTCCTTCAGCCGCCATCTGCCTGGCTCAGGCATCTCTTGGGTGACCCTCCATCCACGTTGGTCCTGCTGGGCATTTACTTGGGTGTCAGGAAGCCCCGGGGTTAGAAGTCGTGTGGTGCACCCTTCCCTGGGACATCTTTTCCCCCCAAAGGACCCCTTCCCCGTGGGGACACCCAAAGGATGCTGGGGAGGAATTTCTCAGTGTTGTTGTTGTTGCTCTTCCTTCTCTTGGCCAGGTTGGTGAGATCAAGGCCCACGCCGCAGAGTGGAAGGCCAACGTGACAGCCGAGTTCCGAGAGACCAGGCGGCGGCTCAGCGTGGAGATCCATGACAAGCTGCAGCGGGCGGCCACCATCCGCAGCATGGAGCGCCGGCGCCTGGGCCTGGACCAGAGGGCCCACTCACTCGACATGCTGTCCCCGGAGAAGCGCTCCGTCTTTGCTGCCCTGGACACAGGCCGCTTCAAGGCCTCCTCCCAAGAGAGCATCAACAACCGGCCCAACAACCTGCGCCTTAAGGGGTCTGAGCAGCTCAACAAACACGGGCAAGGCGCCTCTGAAGACAACATCATCAACAAGTTCGGGTCCACCTCTAAACTCACCAAGAGGAAAAACAAAGACCTCAAAAAGACCTTGCCCGAGGACGTCCAGAAAATCTACAAGACCTTCCGCAATTACTCACTAGATGAAGAGAAGAAAGAGGAAGAGACGGAAAAAATGTGTAACTCAGACAACTCCAGCACGGCCATGCTGACAGAGTCCATCCAGCAGTACGCCGAGCTGGAGAACGGGATGATCCCCACAGACACCAAAGACCAGGAGCTCGAGGACAACGCGTTACTTGAAGACAGAAACTAAATGTGACAGACGCTGGGGACTACGTGTTGTGCGGTCTTTTTCGTTCCCTCTTTCGTTCTTTTTAAAATATTCACACTAAGACACGTGCCTTAAACAGACTTCTTGTTAGTCCAAAATTACATAGCATTGAAGAATCTATTTCACTGTGCCATAAACAACTGAGAGATTGCTCTGCCAAAATGAATCAAGGACAAGAACTTCATTTTCAGATAGCGGCGATGGGACACATGGGAGAGGAAGGGGTCACATACATAGCAGGTTAGGGCAGGACACGTGGAGGGCCTTCCCGGAGTGATGCTGACTTGAAATGGCATGCAGACAAAGAGCAGCTCTTCCTTAGAACAGGCGTGTGTGTGTGTGTGTGTGTGTGTGTGTGTGTGTGTGCGCGCACGTTTAAATGGAAGTCTCATTTTCTGAACCTACTGTTGGTGATAAGTCACACACAGCAGGGGTGGGGCCTGTTTGCAGGTGAACTGGTAAACTGTGGGTTAGGGCTAACACAATGGTATATATGTTGTGAGCTTGACCATTGATACCAATCTTTCAGCGCATAAACTCTTAGAGAGCTCCAGATGAATGCTTATGGGGCCCAGTGGGACCTGGGATTTTTATTGGAAGCAGACCAGAGCACACGTACTAAAAGGTGCAATCGCTTTTCTCATTACAAAACACATACACACACACACACACACACACACACACACACACAAAATAATCACAGACACATCGTACTGTGGATCTCACTGATCTTTCTGGGCTTGGTGACCCAAGTGAACGTGCCACCCTTGGGTAAAGACTCATCCTCAGCTGCTGCCTGGTAAAAGGCAAGTCACGCATTTTTGTTTTTCTTTTTTTCTTTTCCCTCAGTGGGTGTGAAGGTGAAAAATAAACTGAATTTTTTGAAACATCCATGTTCACTTTTCTACCGGAGCTTTGCTTTTCCCATTTTTGTTTTGATAGGGGGGAGGAAAAAAAACAACAACAACCAACCACCAAAACCATTTCCTTGCAGGATGCCAGTGGCTGGCTGTTCTGTCTAGCTGAGGCTAATTTTATATATACGTATAAATAGACATCCTGCAGTACTGAGGCAGTGAAGAGGACTACAGCATCTTTCCATCTCAGGGCTTTTTGTCCCTTTGGGTGTCTGAGGGTAGACATAGTTATGAGACCCAAACTTGCTTTTCTCACACAAGAAGACTTTCCCTTATCCATCCCCCAAATAGCAGGGTTGAAATACTCTAATTGCTTGTAGCTTAAGTGCCATTAATGCCATTCAAAACAGTAATACCGACAAAAAGGTCTCCAAAAGCTTTGATTGTATTTTTACGTTGGGCTGTACTCCTGTATTCCTACAGTGACACTTCTTCGCCTTGTCTCTTCGGTTTGCTCCTGTCTTTCACTAAGGCTTGGACTTGATTTGCTCAAGGCAATGTCTGGTAACTAATGAGGAGGATTGCTCTTGAGGCTGGACCATTCAGTGAGGGAAAGTGGGAGGGATGGGGTAGTCATCAGTCCTGGGAAACAATTCATACGAGGCCGTCGGCGCCTGTGTGTGCCTGGATTTTGATCCTAAGTGGCCGGCTGCCGGTTCAAAGCTAGCAAGCCAGGTGAGCCACTAAAGCGTGTGCGCTGGCAGGACCAGGAAGTTGTTGGTTATGGGTCTTCAAGGCTCAGTAAGCCATTTTGGAGATGTCATATAATCAACTCACAGAGTAGATTTACTAAAACGCCACAGCACATGCGGAGACTTCCAGAAACCACCTTTGTGCTTTCTGATGTCCAGGGGGGAAATGACGTCCACTCTATCCTGGACCACTGGCACTTTGGAAGACCTATTCCCTGGCTCCCTTTACTTTTCCCAAATGCACAACTTACTCCCCCGGCCTGTCGCCTCCAATACTTCTCGCCTTGCTTCTGAGAAGGGGCCAAATGAGAAGCCCTGTGATGAGGCCCATCTTGTCCCATAAAGGTTTGGGTGAACTCTGTCTCCGTGGGGCTAGAGCTGCCCCCTGAGTATCTGCAGAGTCTGGAGTCGACCCTGGCAGGGGATATTTATGCAGGGGTGGCTGCTGGCTGTCTCCTGTGGGAACTGCTCCAGTCTCACCCAAGGCCTTTGGAGGAATAGCTAAGTGGGAACCCCTCTTCTCTTATTCCCACAAGTTCAAGTGTCCTGATTAAACTGTCCGTGGAGCTCATTCATTTGGGCTCCTACCTTGCTATCACTTTATAGCAGCATATACCTCGCCATACCTTGTTATCGCTTTCTAGTCCTATGTTAAAAGTGGAGGCCCGGCCGCCAGATCTGGCAAAGAGGTTTCCTGTCAGGTATCCAGTGCCTTCTGTGTGTCCAGCACTCCATCGGGCACTTTAGGGACGGCACACGCTGAAACCTCACCATGCTATGTGGGAAGTATTTACAAACTCACACTAGAGACAGAGGTTGAGGGAGCAAAAGTAACTTGTTGAATAGCACACAGCAGGGATGTGATAGGGCTGAGTATTCCAAGTATGATCAAGGTCTGCTTTCAACCTTGCTAGTGGCTGTGTCATGTATCCGTGTGTGTGTGTGTGTGTGTGTGTGTGTGTGTGTGATATGTACATGTCTCTTAAGCTTCGTGGACACAGTTTACAGGAATGAAGTGATCTTTTTACCCCCAAAAGGCCACGAGATCTTTGTGTGAGCATGGTCTCAAGAGGTTTCCCTGGAAGGTACCTACTGTGCCCTGTTTTCGTTTCTGTATGGCTAAAATTGCCCTTTGATAGCACTCTTTTGCACTTTACTTGCGTAACTTGCAGAAACTCTGCGCATCACAGGAAGGAAACAGTTCAGAGCTCAAAGTGGCCTCATCCACCCAATGGAGCAGGTGCCTGTATCGGTGCGCAGGTAAACCCTTCCCCAGAGTTGAACCACGGTAAAACAGAGAATCAAACTTAGGTTTGATTTGGGAGAAGGGAAATTGCTGATATCACCCGCTCCCTGAGAACAATATAGACAAAAGCATTGTCAAATAAGGGTCAAAGAAGACCCTCGGGGACATGGAGCCAGTCAATAGGTGGGCCACATGTCTCACAAACACCACTCTCCAGAGGAGGAGCTGAGGGAAGATGAGAGGTTGGACTCCTTTTTGTGTGCGTAAGCTAAGGCCCGAGGAGTCAGTTGTCTTGAAGTTACTTGAATGTTAACCTTGTGAAGAACGGGGCCACTAGTATGTGGAACACATGTACAAAGGCCAAGCAGCCACATGTTCTAGACATGCATTTGCACAGCTCATCGCTTCACGGCTCAGTAATCAGTGCTAGTCGGGGGTTAGGGCTCTATTACTGTGATGGTAGTTGTGGCAGTGGTGGTTGGTGTCTCTGGCCTTCCATTCAGCCACCTGGTACTACTGTCTGGGCTCCACCAGTGTGCGCAGGACACACCCTGAACCTCAGCACTCTTTGGGTTTTAGAGTTCTTTGGCAAAAACCATCTCCCGTCCATGAGTTAATCCAACTTAACCAGCAAGTTTTAAGTTGGATTTGTGAATACCAATGAATGGTCCCGCTCTTCTTCGGTTTCGGGGGAAGATCTTTTTTTGCCTTTAGGGGTTTGTTTTCTGGATGATGAATGGAGACCAGATGTATTTGAGAGACTGCTATCCAAAATAGGATCACCGCCCTGGGGAGGCTCTATCCTTCCTTGTAGAAATTTAGCACACTGTCACCCCGGGGTGGGGGCTCAGGCTGTGCGGGCATTTTTTGCATGGTGTTAAAGCTAGTTAAAGAATTTTAAGCCGTTGCTATTTGCAGCCAGTTGTACTAAAAGTTCCTTTTGATAACTTCATGTACTTGAGTACTTTCATCTCTCTCTCTCTGTCTCTCTCTCTCTCTCCTTTCATATACACAGGAAGTAGCTGCTTTTGGGGGACCATTGGATGTTGAAAGTCTTAGTTGTGCTAAACATTAGCAAGCCACCCTCTTGCCTTCCTCTGAGATGATATCATTTCCTAGCTAGCTAGGTTAGGGCTGAATAGCTATTTGTAGGCTTGGTGTTGGGAATGAATGAGAAGGTCACCAGGGTAACAGGTTGGGGCTCACTGGATTGTGTAAGAATATGAGGCAGTCCATTCCATCTGACCTTGATCTGTCAACCACCAGAAGGACACATGAAAACAAACATGCCTGTAGAAACTCGCTTAAAACCCCCCCAAAAAACTCATGAACAAAAACCTGGATTGCACACTGTCTTCTGCATCTGCTGGTGTTTCAATGTGAATGTGTATGTGTGTGTGTGGGGGGAGGGTATTCTTTCTCATTGTTGTCATGTAATTGTGTGCTGAATGAGCAGAGGAAGTTTCTGGTGGTAAGATCTAACTAGTAACTAAAGAAGAAAACTTTAACTCTGCCACAAAGGTCACTCTCATTGGGTATTTTGGATGAAGTTAATTCTGCAGATGGAAACTTTGGAATGGCATGCTAGTTAAGTTACATGGCTCTGCCCTGGGGTAATGGCTGAGTGAGACATTATCGGCCCATCCACACTGCATCTAAGTCCTCCTTGGGAGCTTGTGCGGGTCACATGACTGCACAGTGGTCCTGAGGACAAACGAGAGGCATCTATGATTTACCAGAAATGATCCTGTTCACAGGTGCCTAAGAGCTGACATCTCCTTCGTGTTCTTGGTTCTTAAGTGAAAAAAAAAAAAGGTCAGAGAGTGGCTGGCCCATTAAAACAAGGCTCAAGAGAAGGCCTTCCCCATCTGCCTGCAGGCTTGCACTGCAGTGGGTCCCCCAGGGTGGGGGCCTACAAGTGAAGCCGACCCCTCCCCGTGCCAGCCTTCTGCTCCTTCTCCTCCCAGACTCTCAGGCCAGGGACTCAGTGACAACAATGCTAAAGTCATGTGTGGAGATTGGTTGACCACTTTTTGTTTTTGTTTTTTCCTTTCTGTAGGATTTCATGGTGCTTTTTTTTTTTTTTAAGGCATTTTACAGATAATACTACTTGCGGCCGGGATTTCA